CGAAGGATTGGCGTGTCCACCACCTCGACATTAAGTCTGTGTTCCTTAATGGCGAGCTCGCGGAGACGGTCTTCGTCAAGCAAGCTCCGGGCTTCGCCATCAAGGGCGTTGAGCATATGGTGCTCAAGCTGCGCAAGGCGCTCTACGGGCTATGGCAGGCCCCTCGGGCGTGGAACACCAAGCTCGATGCCACCTTGGGCGAGCTTGGGTTCGCTCGCTGTGCTACAGAGCACACGCTCTACATGTGGCGACAGGGGAAGGAGGAGCTCATCATCGGTGTGTACGTGGATGACTTGATCATCAAAGGAGCGTGAGTAGAGGACATCGATGGTTTCAAGCGTGAGATAACGGCTCGCTTCAAGATGAGCGATCTCGGCGCGCTCTCCTACTACCTCGGCATCGAGGTGAGGCAGGGGAAGCAGAGCATCTCCCTGGGTCAGCACGCCTCCGTGGAGAAGCTGCTGGAGCGTGGCGGCATGGCAGAGTTCAAGCCTTGCGCGACTCCGATGGATGAGCAGCTGAAGCTAAGCAAGCACAGCACTGCTGCAAAGGTGGATGCGATGTGCTACCGGAGTATCATCGGCGGGCTACGCTACCTCACTCATACCCGACTGGACACTGTGTTCGCGGTTGGGTACGTTAGCCATTTCATGGAGGACCCGGGTGAAGATCATTGGTCGGCAGTGAAAAGGTTGTTGCGCTACATCAAGGGGACGCTCGATCAAGCGATCATCTTCCCCAAGAGTGGCGGCAAGGGAGGGTTGCGGCTCACAGTGTTTAGTGGGGCACCCCCAAGGCAAAGGAAGGTGAGCCGGAGCTCACTGTTTTCAGCAATGCGGACATGGCGGGCGACATTGATGGGCGACGGAGCACCTCCGGCGTGCTCATCTTCTTTGGAGCGGCCCCCATTGCTTGGCAGTCGCTGAAGCAAAAGATCATGGCGCTATTGACGTGTGAGGCGGACTATGTCGCAGCGGCCATGGCGACATGCTAGGCTATATGGCTGCGTCGGCTGCTAGGCGAGCTGACCGGCGAGGAAGCTCACCAGCTAGCTTTAATGGTGGACAACCAACCCGCCATCGCCTTCGCCAAGAACCCTGTCCTCCTCGACCGGAGCAAGCACATCGACATCAAGTTCCACTTCCTCCGGGACTGCATTGATGGAGGGCAGATCGTCATCGAGTTTGTCGAGACCGGCAGACAGCTCGCTGACATCCTCACCAAGTCACTCGGACGCCTGCGGTTCATGGAGCTGAGGAAGATGATTGGCATGGATGAGGTCAAGGCATCGGGCTAGCAGCAGGATTAGGGGAAGAATTGTTAGACATAATCTGCTGCTCTCCATTCTCTCCTTGGTTGGAGACTGGTCGTGTCGGTTCAAAAAGTGACCAACAAGTAATTGTAGTTTTGTCGTACGTTGTGATCGGATGTGGTCTAGTACTCAATGACACAGGGTTTATACTGGTTCAGGCAATGTGCCCTACGTCCAGTTTCAGTCAGTCGGTGACTTTATTCCTGAGCCCAGGTGCTCGAAGTTTGATGTGGGGTTACAAACGAGTGGAAATAAGATGGGGGTGTTAGAGGTCCAGTCGGGCTCTGGACTGGAGAGCCGAGAGTGACGGGAGCTCCTACGTGCGCTAAATATTAGAAGTATGCTCTGTGTAGCTTTAGAGTTCTAGAACCATGGAGCTGTTTGAGTGCTCAGAATGTCTAAAGCTTAGCAGTGAGAGAGTCAGAATGACCATCCTCGTTTTAGGAGAGAGCACATCCTCTTTTATAGGTGAAGGGGACGACCTTACAAATTTAGAGAAAGAGTGTGTGTGTGTGCTACCTAGTCTTGTTGCCCACGCCGTCGGGTACAAGACGGTTTGTTGGTGCCCACAATACTGTTGACGCCCAGATGAATGTGGCAGGCTCCATCATGTTCTTCTAGTATGGTAAATGTCGGCGCCTACCATACTGTAGGACAAATGTCGACGCCCACAACACTGTTCGCGTTCTGACATGTCTGAAAGGTTGCGAAGCACCCTTCTGGCATGGCCTGGCAGTACTGTCCTGCAGGTGTGCAGGGTACAGTCCTCAGTATTGCAGTTGACTTGAGCACCTTGCCTTATCTGCTCCGCCTAATTCTTGGGTCCTTACCGAGCGGGCGTCTCCGGTCAGTTGTTCCCAGTCGACTCTGATCGCGCTGCTCGGAGAAGAGCCATAAGCAGAGGTTTGATGTATTCTCGGTCGGAGAAGTGGGTCGGAGTCGGAAGCGAGCGTCGTGCCCTCCTTGGCCAGACCTTCCGGTCGGAGAAGCGGGTCGAAGTCGAAAGCGAGCGTCGTCCCCTCCTTGGTCAGGCCTTCCGGTCGGAGAAGCGGGTCGGAGTCAGAAGCGAGCGTCGTCCCCTCCTTGGCCAGGCCTTCCGGTCGGAGACTGGATCGCTCTTCCGACCTGTCGTTAGGTATCTGGGCCGGCTCAGGAGTTGCGCGTCGTTTGTAATGCCGTCTGCTAGGCCGAGCTTTTGCTGGGAAGCGGACCCATTTGGGACCCCGGGTTTATGAACTCGACAGGTCGGCTTGGCCGACCACTCCCTGTTGGGAGTTGGGGACTGATCGGCTCTGCCGACCAGTTTCTATAGCTGTAGCAGTATTGCAATAGGCCACCTCTAGTATATTAGTTGGTAGTTATTACATCAGCCATGTCTTGGTAGTGGGCTGAGGTAAGCTTTGTACTGCTAGGAGTAGTTGGTATAATCTGTACCTTAGGAGTATGTAGTTGGTGTACCCTGTACCTTATGAGTAGGTAGTTGGTGTACTCTTGTACTTAGGAGTAAGTAGTTGGGCAACAACTATATATATGATAGAGGTACAACTAGAATTGTATATATTCCATCCAAAGAGTAATGGAATACTCAGTTCAGTTGCTACAAACCAAAGGGCGGGGCTTCGGCCAACGCTGGTGCTTGTGCTGAGTGTGTGTGCGCGCGTTGTTCTCAATCTATTCTTCTACCTCTAGCCATAGTAAGTATGTGCTGATAAGTTAGTTGTTTACTTATGCAGGGCATCTAGGGATCAACATTATCTTCCTTGTTATGGGCGATGCTTTTGCTTAGGACAGCCTTCCATTCTTCTTGATTTGTCTTACCACGTAGCACAGATCCTGGTGCATTCGCAGCCAAGGGAGATCCAGCACATCTCTTCACAACATCATCAACCAAGGCCAGCTGGCTTATTCTCTTGCGAACCGAATGCTTTAGTCTCAATAATTTCCTTTATGGCTCCGGCATCCAGAAGTGCAATGTCATGGGCTTTCACTGTATCCATTAGTTTCGCAACTCCTTCCTTGCGAGTGGTTGTTCCATGTTTCTTATCTTATAATCCGTCTTTTTTGTTTATTTTTTCAACCGGAACAGTGTTTTTTCTCACAACAAATCAGCCGGAACAATGTTTCGGCGAAACGAACGGGGCCAATATGGCACAACCGTTCCCACCATACTTAAGGCTGGCTTTTAGCTTTTCCCACTTGTCACCGTCCTCATTACATACGTCGTCCAACACGATAAGATACCTGTGTGACAAATAAGCCTAGCATTAGTGCGTGGAGAGCACAAGAGATTGCAAGTTTTTTGCATGTTGGAGAGGGTAACATGCAACTCCGATTAAGCATGAGTCAGTTTTTGTGGCCTTCCAGCTTCTCAAGATGAGTGGAGTGACCGAGAAATATTTAAAATGAAAATTACATGTGACCTGGTGGGGTTTGTATGCTCTTGTGCTTATGTTGAGCAGTAGATATTGCGTCCAAAAAAGAGTGCAATTCTAGGTTTGGACTAAGTCATTATTAAGTTTAACTATATTTATAGACAATAATATCTACAATTATATCTCGTAAGTTTATACTCCATCCATCTCTGAATAAATCAATTTTTAGAGTTGTCTTAAGTCAATTTTTAAGTTTGAACGAATTCATAGAAAACGTGTCAAATTTTATGAAACCAAATTAACATCACTATATACATCATAAACTATATTTTTATAATGTGTTCATTTGCTATCGTAAATATTTATACTCTTTTCTATAAATTTGATCAAACATTAAAAAAATAACTTAAGACAACTCATTAAAATTGATTTATTTAGAGACGGAGAGAGTAGAAAATAGTATCAATATTTATGTCTCATTGTAACGGGTTTGACTTGGTTAATATGGAAGGAGCAGGACAGGCGCCTTCTATGGGTGCAGGCTGTCTTTGGATGCCTGTGGTCGTTGTTTGTTCGGCTGAACTTCTGATGCACAATTTATCGTTACAGTAGGTCCTTTGTCTGTTGTTCAGTAGAACTTTGTAAGTCTCTATTCGTGCCGTCCAAGCTAATAAATAGCGGATAGTGGCGTAAGTTATAACAGATTAATGTCTTTGTAGCAGATCGTGGATAGTGGGTGCTATAGATGACGTTAAGTTCTAATAGCAAAATATTAAAAATAATTAATTTTTTGGAGGATATGTCAAAACTAATATCATATTTTCTTGAATAATTAGAAGTTTTTAGTTAATTATTACATTTAATAACATGAAATCACATAGAAGCATATAAATGAATAAGGTATAAAAAAGACATGTGGGATACCATTAATCATCCCATCATTCTTTATGATCGTGCAAATTACCATCTTAACATTTTATTACCCTTGGAGCTGTCCAAATCATCACTTGAACCATCGACATAGTGAAATAACGGACATGTGTGTGGTCGCATGTTTCCTTATTTCTTAATTAAATAATTGCTCAGGCACACTCGTGAAAAAAAGTATATCTCCAAATATATAGGTTTCCTCTTAAAATATATTCCATGATTCGGTACCAAAAATATTAGCATTTGTTATATGTTTGGTTAAACTTAAGATTGATTGACTAAAAAGACCTAGAATTCGATACTTTTTAGGACGAAGGGTGTAAGTTTGAGAAAAATATTCTCTACAAAAAGAAAAGGTTTGAAAAACACATGAGAGAGAATCCACTTTACCTCTTTCCTTGAAGCTCATCCTGGAGCTTCTTCTGTGCCTCTTCAAGGTTGTTTTCGGAGCTGTTACAGATCTTGTTTGCAAGCTTAAAAACATCAAACACGCAGACCCACTTGTGTAGCTCAAAATGCTTCTTGACATCAGGGTGGTTGTAGATGAGCTGAGTTAGGGTAGTCTTACCCAACCCACCCATTCCAACGATAGGAAGGACAGTGAGCTCTGCAACGCTAGCCCTATCAATCAGGATCTTAACAATCTTCTGCGTCTCTGCATCTCTTGATTTGGTGGCAATATTACCGGAGTCAATAAGGATGGAATCAGTCTCACGCCACTGCTTGGGTGCTGGTGCTTGGTTTTGATAGTCGAATCCAAATGTATTCATTTCAGTCACAAGGACTTCAATGGTCTGCACAATCCTGCGAAGCTTGTTGCCCATTTTATTACTGAATGGAACGCGGTTGTGAGTAGGAAAGAGCTTCACTCCCTCGAAACCAAGCTTGCGGATGTGCCCCTTCTCCTTGGCTTCACGACGGAGCGCCTCGTAGTTGAACTCATCAAAGGCTTCATTCGCCTCGTACGCCACCGTCTTGACCTCCTTGAGCCACGCCTTCACTCCTTCTCGGCGCGTCGCCTTCTCCTCGGCATCGGTGATGACATCGAGGATGGCAGGCAGCTTGCGCATCAGGATCTTGTGCTGCTCCTTCATGCCCTCCATCACCTTGTACTGGTCCAGGAGGTAGCTCGATGCCTTCTCCTTCACCAGGGACAGCAGTGGCCCGACCACCATGCTGACCACCAGCTCCGCCATTGGAGCAGTAGTCAGAGCTCACGAGAACACACGCTCAGAACGAAGTCAGGGAAACACCGCTGCTGAGCGCAGAAGAGAATGGTCTGAGCAAGCGGTTTGGAGGCAGATGGAGAGGAACACCAAGCCTTGATCATCTCGGGAGTCAAGTGGATGTGTCTATTAGTTGCATCGGTAACACATGAGAGCTCGACTTCCCACTCCAGCTTGCAGCAGCCAGCAGCTCACCCAATGGATTCCTTTTGGACGTTCAGAGCAAACATTGACCAGTCACCAGACTGATCACTGTGCCATATCAACGTTAACAGCTAGTGAGGCATCTTGAATTTTTAAATCTCAACATCTAATACCATCATGGCTGGCCATGTTCATTTTCTCATTACAAAATTATCGGCGAAATAGCCATGTTCGTCCTTGAACTTTCAACCAAAACTCAAATTAGTCCCTCAACTATCAAAACGGCCACATTAATCCTCAAATTTGCAATTTTGGCTCGATCCCAACGTGGCTTGCCACGATAACTCGCCCCATCAGCACACTTGTTTGAGAAGGAAAGACCCTTCAAAACCAGTGAAATCAGGCACCAAGTCATCAAGAGTTGGTACTAAAATTAGATGTCGTTGATACAAAAATATGGGTCACAACTCCAAGACACGCTCAGAATGGTGTTTATGCATTTCTGATTTTTTTCCCTTACTATTGTAATGTATTGAAGGGTGGGCCTGGTGCAAGCGGATGTATTGTTTCACATAAGATGCAACTAACTTCTACCATACAACAACAGGAGGACACCGGGTCGCATAATCCATCACAACAAGCGGCATTGAACCTGCACAATCCAAGCAATCTAAAAGAAAGCGTCCAGCCACATCTAAAAGACTGGTTTCTTTTTCAAGATGTAAGTCAACTGCTGAAGCATCTGCAAACATTCAATCCACTTCACGTCTTCACTTGGACGTGGATCAGCAGCAAGACAAAGCAGCTCCTCTCAGAAAAAGAATAGGAAAACAACTTGCGGCTTCAAAAAAGAGCATCATGTAATTTCAGTAGGTATTGAATGCATGGTCAATCCTTTGTGTATAATCTTTGTTATGTCAGCTAACATTGAGACATGATACATGTTATTTTCTAGAAACATCATTTGATTTCAAAATCCTTACATGATTAGCCACACGCCACAGCCACTTACAATGCAAAAACACAAGACACCAATGCAAAGACTGGACCAGCATGCATGGAACAAGCACGCATGACAGACTGATAGAGCGATTCTCTATATTTGAGCATCAAACTCTAGCCAAGTATGCTGACGTGGTGAGCCACGTCGGATGGAGGATGAGATTGAGCCAAAATTGCAAATTCAAGCACTAATACGGCCGTTCTAATAGTTGAGGGACAAATTTGAGCTTTGGACGAAAGTTAATATGGCTATTTTGCCAAAATTATCCACTTGCATAAATTACCGTTGAGCCAAATCTCGAGGCCCAGCCGTCCAGGTTCACATGCTTCTCCATAAAGAAGTCATTTTTTTTTCTGTCTAGTAGCTTCTCTTTTGTCTCTCTTCGATGTCACTGTACTCAAGTGGCATAATTATTCATGGTTATACAAGCAATCAGACTTCACTGAGAAAAGAGCATGTAGAACGGGTGTGCAGACCTTCGAGAGATCAACAGAGTATGCATGTAGAGGCTGGATGTTTTTTTTTTATTTTTTTATTTTACAACAAACACAATTTCATTTCAACAGCATCTAGCTGTAAGAACCATTACAGAGTCAATGGTTGCAGATTGAAGTGCCAGTGATAAAGTGCACTGGTTTACATGATCTGTATGAGAACAGAAATAGGAAACAACAGGAGCAGAAGACTGAAGTTCCTTTGTATCTTGAAAGTACCTGTGCTTCTGTTGCGACTGAAGTTGTCAAAGAGCTGTGTTAGGTACTTGATTCTCCAATCCGGGGGATTGGAGTGATCTGAAGAATTTAAGAAGTCCACCAGCTGTTGACTATCAGATAGGAAATTTGTGTGTTGAAGTTGCAGTTGAGCCGTAATAGCTGCAGCTTCGGCCATCAGGACTGAGGTGGAGTGTTGCATAGCTGCTTTTATATATATATTTTGTGGAGGCTGGACCTGGGTATTGACGATGAAAATGCCGATTCCTGCTTTCCTTGGGAGAGAAGAGACCTGATCCGGCACAGTGGAGGCATCTGTGTAGCACCTAGATCCCTGAAGCAGAGGTGGAAAGGACACAGTGTTTCTGTGTGTTGCAGTCGCCATGAACCTGTGCATCTGATTTGTTGGGTAGTTGTTCCCTGCAATGCAACAGTTCATACCTGGAGTTGCAGGTGTCAGAGTAGTGTTTGCTTGTTCCTGATGACTGTGCGCAACTGCGCATGGCTCCTGTCTTGATTCCTGTTCTCCTGATTGGTGTAGGTGTGCGCATGACTCCTGTCCTGATTCCTGTTCTCCTGATTGGTGTAGGTGTGTGTAGCACACAGAGTCTGCACCCTGTAATCTGCAATTGCAGATCGGTGACCTGCATCAGCAGAAGGCATACCTGTGCTTGAATTGTTTGTGTTGGCAGGCAATATTCCTTGCCGGATGGGCACCATGTTGATCAGGTCTACTGTCCGCCTCGTTGCATCGTCTTGCTCATTGTTCTCCATTGGTTCAGGTGAAGATGTTGTACCTGTCATTTCATTGTTCATTCCTGGAGTGAAGGCGTTGATATTTGAGGTTACCGCCTCTGTGTTGTGCATTGCCTCCTGTGTTGCATAGTCCTGTGCATCCTCTACGGAGAATGGTGAGTTTGCTGTGTTGATATATGCCGCCACAGCATGATGTACCTGCCAAGTATTCCATGTTTTCCTGCCAAATCTTTGATCATTTCGGGCTTTCCATATATACCACATAGTTACAAGAATTTTTTGCATCAAGGAGTTATCAGTTGAATCAGTAATAAGTACTGAAAGAATAACCTGTACTCCATCATCCTCATTTGGTAAAGTGTCAGTTCATAGAGGTGGAGTGGCTGAAAACCAAACTGCACGAGCAAAATCACAGTGAAAAAATAAATGAGCATCAGTTTCAATTAGTCCACAGGTGCTGCAATGCTCGTCAATGTGTGTTGAATATCTTGCTGCTCGGCATCTGGTGGCAAGAGCTCTGCGTATAAGTCTCCAGGTGAAAGTCTTGATAAGTGGAGGAAGGTTTTTCAGCTTCCACATTCGTTGAAGGATCAGGTTAGCCTGTTGCTGTATGCTCCTTGATCCTGTGAGCGGAAGCTGAACCTGAGCCTGCGAACTTAAAAATCTGTAAATATTTTTAGTTGTGCAGTCGCCTTTTCTTACCGAAGTCCATCGAAGGATGTCATGGTGCTGGCTGTCCACCGTTACAATTTGGGAAATAATCTGAACAGCTTGAGGATCAAAGATGGTGGAGAGGAGATCCAAGTTCCAAGTATGAGTATTAGGGAACCATAGATCAGAGACCGCTCGGAAGAGGAGAGTGAGTGACAGGCAAGAGAAGGTGGTCGTTAATGGACTTCCAGATTTGTCACCAAGGAGAAGACTAAATAGAAGTGTTGCCATTGTGAATTTGGTAAATCACATTCTGGACAAGATCATTTTTAATCTGAAGGATAGAAGACCAGAAAATAGAGAGAGGCCCATCAGCTCTGGCCGTCCAAAACGAGGTGGAGTGGAAATATTTGGCTTTTAAGATGCTGGTGAGAAAGGGGGTTTTGTTGGTGGCAATGTTCCAGGCAGCGTGGGTGATCAGACTTTTGTTGACAGTGAAAAGGTCTCTGACTCTGAGACCCCCATTTTCTTTGGGTTGACAAATATCTTCCCAGGAGCGGCAGCCCACCAAAACCTCCGAATGATTCCAGTGATCTTTTCAACAAAAGTTTTGGAAAAAAGAACAGTGGACATGTAGTATATAGGAATAGAGGCAAGAACAGTTTTGATGTAGGTGAATCTGCCAGCATGGTTAAGCTTATTGGCTTTAACAGTGGTGAATTTGGAGCGGAACTTGTTGAGAATGAAATCATAAGCCTTATTCCTGTCCCTGTGACTAAAAATCATTGGATGACCAAGGTGCATAGTATTAGGAAGCAGGTCCGGAACAGGAAAAATGCTTTTAATTTGGGATCCGGTGGCACTGTCAACATTCTTGCTAAAGAGGATGGAAGATTTTTGGAAATTAGGAATTTGCCCGGATAACTGCGAGAATTGATGAAAAAGGGAATTAATAGTGGAAGCCTCAGCAACAAAGGCTTGACCACAGAGAATCAGATCATCGGCAAAAAGGAGAGAGTGGATGGGTGGACAGCCAGGCCCCAAGCTGATGCCTGAAAGATTCCTGTTCTACAATTCAGCTTGCAAAAGAATAGACAGTTCATTAATTGCAATGACAAAAAGATACGGTGACAGGGGGCAGCCTTGACGAATGCCACGTTCAGAGCGGAAGGTGGCAGAAGGTTCACCGTTAACCAGTACAGAAAAAGACGGCGATGAAATGCATGCCTGGATGAGTTTAATGAAATGACAATGGTACCCTTGACGACGGAGGGCCGACTCAATGAAACCCCATTCTAGCCTATCAAAAGCTTTAGCAAGGTCTAATTTTAAGAGAAAAGCTTTCTGATTCCAGTTTTTAAGGTTGAAGGAGTGAATTATTTCCTGGGTGATGATGACATTAGAAGAGATATGCCTGTCAGTAATAAAAGCCGCTTGAGCATGATTAATTGTATTAGGAAGGTGAGGCTTTATTCTATTAGCTAGAGACTTAGCTATAATTTTGTAAATGACATTACAAAGACTTATGGGTCTAAAATCTTGCGGAGTTTGAGGTTGATCTTTTTTAAGAATGAGGGCAATATAGGTTTTATTGATGTCATCGCTGAAATGTCAGTAGTAGTAGAAATCTGTTACCAGTTTACTGACGTCCTGTTTGATCCACGGCCACGCCGATTTGTAGAAGGCTGCAGTGAGGCCATCGGGTC